CACAAAAAAACCTTTACACAGAAAAAAATCCCCACAGAAACTTTTACATACAGCAACTTTTACGCAAAGAAACTTTTACACACAGAAACTCTTACACACAGAGTTCTTTTGCACAAAAGAACCTGTACACAGAGAAACTTTTACACACAGAAATTTGTGCGCACAGACGCGTTTACACACAGTAGTTTTTGGCATGCGGCTGATACGGCGCCCTTGGAAGGGTTGCCAATTTTGAGATGTGCCATTTACGATCCCTTGGAAGGGTTGCAAATTTCAAAAATGAGGCTTGCTGAAATGGGGGTATAGGATTTGATTTTTTTGAGTTTTTATCATGTTGCACATGCTGTGGTATGATCATCAGGGGGGGTGGGGGTGGGGGGTGGGAGGGGTGTATTAACGTTCTTGACGAGCACTTCCTTTACGTTACGGAAGATGCACACGTTGCGCATGCTGTCGTATGATCATCAGGGGGGTGGGGGTGGAGGGTGGGGGGGTGTATTAACGTCCCTGAGGAGCACTTCCTTTACGTTACGGAAGATGCAAACGTTGCACATGCTGTCAGTTGTGTCAAAGATTATCCCCACAAAAGGTTCAAGTTGGCCCAAGTCAACCACAAACAAAATATCTTTACTAAGACTAAGACTTATCATTTTCGAGGTCGTTTGTGGGATAAATCCTATAGAACCATTGTTGCTGGTACTCAACAAATGGATGGAACATGGAAACACTTGAAAAAATGGCGACCTCCGTCGATGCTCCACAAAAAAACAAAACGTGTACAAAAAAAGGTACACTTGGGCCTACAGCTGGACATGGCGTCACAACGCTGCCTTGTTGCAGACTGTGGCTTCTGCGTTGCCACAAGCGCTCTGGCACCGCTAGCGTCGAGAAGAGGAAAAAACTGGAAGAGTGAATGTCGCCCTGATATGATTCGGATGATTGAAAATCATAAATTTCTAATGTTTTTTTTTGACCCTTGAAGAGCAAAATCGAGTCACCACGCAGGCGAAACGCTAATTTTCACTCTTGAGTCACACGCCTGCCAATCGAAATGAATGTCCATGTTGCTAACATTTTTTGACGACTCCTGCAAATACCAGCATTTTGTCTCTTAGCCTCAACAATCAAAATTTCAAATTCGTCACCCTTACAAGGGCGCCGAGTCAACCGGTTGCCTAGTTTTTACGCATAGAAACTTTTGTACAGAGAAATCTTTATCAATTTTTAATCATGTCTTATTTTTCATCATCATTCACCATCTGTCATCTTCATCTCTTCGTTTTCATGCTCTTTTGGTCAACTTCCTCCGTCGTTTAGTTTTCATTTTGCACGGTGTTCTGTCAGTCCACACTTCGTCCTCGTTCCCTCTGCGGCGAAGCGAAAACTAAACGAGAACCCAGGAATAAATAGCGACTAGAAAGGTGGGATGCAGTTAATTACATGAGCAGAAATAGCGACTAGAAAAATGTAGACGTAGCTGACACAGCATGGCGTGGTGAATTGTGGCCCTTGATACCATCAGTGCGCACGATGTTTCAGTAAAGATTTTTCGGCGATTTCGCGCAAAGTACAGCTGCCCACACCACATTTAAAAAAAAAAACGTGCTGCGTGCCGTCTTGCTTTTGGGTCCTCTGGCCCCCCTTGTTTTAATGAAACGCCAGCAGGTCGTTATTGACCGGGCGAGGTGAAATGTATTGGCAGTGTCCCATTTGGGCTCAAGGGCGATGCGGAACTCTTTCACAAACATTTGAAACACTTACATTTTTTTCAGGGAAACCCATAGTTCTTCATTTGACAGCCTGTTCCACATTGGTCAACTTCGTGTGTTGAATTTGCCACGCAAATTGGGAACGTTCACTTCGGAAACATGTCCAGTTGGGTCCAATTGGGTTTCCAGCAAACTGCACAACATACACAGCATGTTCCATAAAGGGACATTCGATGATTTCGGCAATGTCAAAGTGATTGCATTCATTTTTGCCATTGCTGCGTTTACTGTTTTGTGCGATCTGTTCGGGATGCAGATTTTCGTGCCTGCATTGCCAAAAAAAATGAAGAATCCGGGGAGCCTGCAAGTCACAATGACGAACTCTAGCGGCCGGATGCCGGCAACTTTGAACTCAATGTGCGATCGGACGAGTTATACTGCATCGGCTATTGAAATGAAATTCAAAGAGCACACTCTTCAGCTCACCAATGACCAAGACGTCCTGTGCGAAACCTTGAAAGGCGTGACAGATCAATGGCTCCAAATGAACCTCCAAGAAACGCCATTGGCAATGCCATTGGCATCCTCCGACATTTTTTCGCAGATTTGCCCCAACTCTGCAGCGACAAAGCAGGTGATAGAGCCCTTGGCAGGTCTCCTGAGGGATCCCAGGATGTTTTGTTTGGAAAATTCTGTTCGAATATTGCTTTCGGTGGATTGGTTGGTGTTGGCGGACGGCAGTAGTTTCCCTTCTGCGACATCCACAGATTCACGCCGTATTTTCTTCGATGCAGGTGGCTCGAGATTTGCGGATGCCTTAAAATTTTTCTTGACCAAATATGAAGAAAGAGGCATTGAAATGGATCAAATTTATGTTTGGGAGGCTAAGAAAAGAGAAATTTCAAAGTATTGGGACGGAACGCCTCAAGATGTGCGAGACAAGTGGGAACCCCGCCTCACTTGGTACAACGGTGTCCCTGTGACCACCGAAAAAGGCAACATGCACAACCCGGTGCATCGCATCCATGAACTTTGTCGCATCGAAGACTTCTGCGCATTCAAATTGGATATTGATACTCCACATGTGGAGTATTCTCTGGTCAAGCAACTCCTGGAAAATCATGGCCATTTGAAAGAATTCTTCTTTGAACATCATGTTCACAATCCGCTGATGTCTGAATATTGGGGGCGCGGTGTCGATATGTCGCTTAAAGATAGTTATTTGCTCTTTACAACATTGCGTGAAAAAGGTCTCCGTGCACACCCTTGGGTGTAGATGTCTCCATCGACCCAATGTTCGATGGTGTGTGCAAAATGGACTATGCAGTGTACATGGAGTCAGGACTGGAGCTGTTTGACGGCTGGTTACCTAGTCGTAGGATCCTGTAGTGTCCAAACAGTGACAAATGTCTAGTGTCCATCTTTGGGGTGGTTGAGCTGGTGGAACAACAACTTCAGTCAAAATGTTACGAATTTGCAATCATTTAGTGATTCTGAATTCAATCTTCACAGATCACGGACCTTTCTGGTAGATTTTCCAGTCACAAAGAAGGCAGCCAGGTCCTTGAAGAGACCTGAGACGGTTTGATTTCGACAACTTTTCGACTTCCGCGGGGAGGAGAACGTGAATTTGCAGGGTAGGAATAACCCTTATCAGATTTGTGCGAGATTGAGACGAATTTATTTAATGTAGTTAGTATATGTTAGTATTAGTATATTTAATGTTTTTTCAGTGGTAAGTGCGTACAGGTTGTAATCGCCAGAGACAAATGTGTCCTTGGCTGAGTTCTGCCTCTTGCCTGCTGAACACCTGAACCGGTGAAGCAGACTATCTGACTATGCGTTGACATAAAAGGTAGGTGAACGAGCTGCTGCACAAAATCCGTTCCGGAGATCTTGTTTGATCAGAGGGATACCTCAAGCAGAAGACAGTATGTTTATTTTTTAAATTGGATAGCGTCTTTTATTTCAGAGATTCAAACGCTCCAAGATTCATTGAAATAAAAAATCCAAGACTATGTTGCTGTGTTACGCTATGATGCTTGGATTCTCAGTCAAAGCCTTGTCTAGGATGTGCTCGTGCGTTTCAGTTGAAGCATTGGTTTTAGCTTTAGAACTGGATCTTCTGGAACCTTGTTGCGCACGTCAATCTGCTGCATCAGGTCGCACAGACGTGGTCCAGCGCAGCTGAAAATGCTCGACAGCATGTTCCGTTTTATCTCCATGAATAGAAGGTTTGGATACCGATGTTCTGGTGAATCCTGGACAATTCACACCTAGTGACAAGCATCTCTGGCAAAGCTGAACATATTGAATAATTCAGCATGTTGAAACATGTAACACTTGAAACAAAGATTGTGGCCCTTCCGATGTTCCAATACTTTGGAAAGAACTGACCAAGCATATTCTCCGGGCATTTCCCAGCATCTGGCCGGCACTTCGCCCATGAGCAACTGGCGCGATGCACTTGCAGCAGTGGTATTCGCAATTTGTGCCGTGGAACGGTGTTGCTTGGCGGAGCGACATTTTGCGCTCTACCACATGTAATATGTTTTTGAAATAAGATGGGTTTGCCACATATCATGCTTGTTTGAGATTAGATTAGTTTTCCATTTTACTACATTCATATTTAATCACATGTATTTGGTTATATGCATAGCATATTCCACTAAGAGTTATCAACATAGAAGGGGATCGACTGGATTTGCCAAAACACGGGCTACTCCAAGATCCGGGGGTGTCAAAACAAATTTTCCTTCGATGGCCATAGGAGGAGATTTGATCGATCTCTCATTTGACTGTCACCACCAAGGCTATTTGCTCTTCGTCTACGAAGGTTGCGGGACTACACTCTTGTCTTTACGTTTGTCGGAGATGAGCACACGATCCTTGGGAATTTTGCTCTCACTGCTGACATGCCATGTACAGCCTTGTTTGAGCTAACATTTGGAAGTCTCACGACATATTTGCCAGAGCTCCGGCTGTGCCCAAAGATTCTTGTCTTTGAGCGTCTGGGCATTCCAAATCTGAAGTTGCTGCAGTTGCCAAATCACACTGAGCTCATGGGGAGTGTATGGCCTTTCACCTGTCACCACATCGTTGATCTTCCTGTGGCAACCTGATGTTGCGTCGGCGGCCAAAAGATTGGCCTCAGATTCTGCAGAAACTGAAGGAAGACGATGCCGTTTCGGTACGACCTGATAGCATGCGGGATGTACACTTTGGATATCGCCATGAGTGGGATGTATTTCAGCATGGTCCGCTGCTTGAACTATTCGGGTTTCGCGGAAGATGTGTACATCATTCAGTACTGTGACCAGATCCAAGTGGCCACAGTCTCCTTATGTCTCCTTCTTTTGCGAGATCTTCCCATTGATTGACCTCAAACTTCAGAAGATGGATCCGGAAGACTGGGGACGCTCAGGCTCTTATATGGAAGACAACCTGGATGTCATTAACGCCAACCACAGCAGTGTGAGGTATGGCTCTTGTTACAAAGCTCATTGCAACAAGGACAAGAGAGACTTGGCAGACTTCATTGAGCCATGCGAAAGCCAATAAAACTGTTGCCGTTTCAAGTCTCAAGACCGCGTTGCTCTGAAATGTTGCCTTAGGAAGAAACACAACGGGGGTTTATGTTTAAACACAATGGGGGTTCATGGGGGTTTATGTTTCCTGCAGATCCAAGCACTGGTTGTCACCTCCAGTGACTTGTCTGACTGCTACAGATATCCACGAAGCGGAATTCCACTGGGCTGTTGGAGAGTGTATAGCCTTGCTTTCCTCACATATTCTCTAGCATCTCTTCACTTCATGCCACGATTGTTGTTGAACTTCCAATTTTTCAGGAAGACAAGCGGATGGCTACTGGGATCATTGGTTCTACATTCATCCTTCGAATCTGCTCTCCGATATCTTTCACTTCTATGAGAAGACCAGACCTTGCCGGTAATGGAACATGCAGCTGTGCCTTCCATGGGCCCCAGATTGGTTTCAGCCCAAAGCTTTGGGGTGCAATTATGCAGAGCATGTGGCCTTGTATGGCCGACTGAGTGTGATGTTGTGGCTCTTGCTGTATGGCGGTCTGGGAGGTTTGTTAGCTTGGGCCCTGCAACGGTGCCTTCAGGGTAAGCTGTGGCGTCCGGTGCAAGCTCTGCTGCTGTGTGCAGTTTGCTGCTTGCCCTGGGCTTTGGTGGCCTTCAGCTGGGAGTTGGCCCATGATCACAATTGTTGGAACTCACCGAGAATCTGTGGCAAGGGGAAGAATAGGTAGATCAGGTAGATGGCAAAGATTAGTCCTGTCGTGGCTGAGAACTTTGGAGCGTGCCGTGTGCAAAAATCGAGCTTTATGGAAGCCTCTGGTTCCGTAGAAGTTGTACCACAGCTCTTCAGTCCAACACTTTCAAAGTAGTGAGCGGAAGGCATTGAAGCTTGTTGGATCTTGCTGGATCCTATTGGCTTGTTCACTTAGTGCGTCATGTCGGCCATACATATACTGCTTTGGATTGACAAATGTGTTAGTGTACGGGTCGAGGTGCCCATACCCCAGAGTAGTGTAGTGGAACTCCCAAAGGTCTGACAATCTCATTGGAGGACTCACCAACTGAATTAGACTTTCATTGGAGAGATATTCTTTTTGTGAACCAAAAAATGACAGCATTTTCATTCATTGGGTCCAGTTTTGTCGGCATCTGTGTTCAGCCTTTGTTGCGGCAACAAAATGGAGGAAATCTTCACGGAGTTTCCCCAAGTGTTTTGAATTGGATCAGCTGTCACAAAAATTCATCAAACAATCCCCTTCTTTTTGTATGGTCAAAACCCTACAACATTTTTTATTCAGGAGAAACATCCGTAACTGCCAAGTACTCTTGATGTAAATATATGTAAGATTATGTAAGATTATGTAAGGATGTACCTAAACTACAGGGCACAGTTGAGCTTTGCACGGTCTTGCTCCATTATTTGAGCATACCTTCAGTGCTCCGTCATGGAAAATCGCGAGGTGAGGCTGTAATTTTTGTTGATCGTTGACCTGAAAACTGGTTTGATGTGGGTCAAAATTGAAGGCGGACAGAGACAGTATAAAATCGATTGTATCATATTTATCAATTTTGGAGATGTAATCATCATTAATCATCCATTTTTTTTGGGGTATCCCATTTTGACCCATCCAACTCAGATACCCTCCAGTCATCTGGAGAAACCCCTTCATGTGCAGGTCCGACGGAGCCGCTATGCACTCGTGGCGGCTGTGGCCAGGGGTCTTAATTTTGGGGGGCCTAGGGGAGTTAAGGATGTTAAGGTTGGAAAAACTGGTGGAATTCGATGAAACAACTGTAAATAGCTAACGGAAACCTCTGGAAATCATGGAGAGAAGGTTGGAATTCACAGCGGAAATCAAGCCAGACTTTTTGACATTTATCCTTGCGCAGCAAAAGTCAGAGGTTTCTGATTTTTTAGCTTGAGATGTCACGGATTCAGCTCATTTGGAGGCTTCAAACATTTGCAATTCATGTTCATCAATTGCCCATCAGATTTTCCTGTGCCTGCAGACCATGACCTAAATCCTCCGCTTTTCCCCTGCATGGTCAGAAGTGATGCTCTCCTTTTTGTATCCCACAGCCATGCGAAAGTATTGTGTAGCCTATCCAGATATGAGCCTTCAAAAGTCATGGATCAAAAGTCATGGAAAAGTTCCAAATCTTAAATCCACCAGGAAGTTTCCCAAAAATATTGGATTTACCATGATTTACATGGCTTTCCCGCTCTTTTTCCCATGTTTTGTTGCCCAAAAAACACGGGGGGGGCAAACTCCACGCTGCAGGATTCCACCCTGGCGGTTCTGGGAACCTCTGCGGCCTGTTGCTGTGCTTTGAGAGCTGGGAGGTGTGCTCAGAGTGGTGGCTTTTGGTGGTTGAAACATGTTTTTCCATTGGGCGATTTTGAGAGACAGGATGGATCAAGTTACCGAAATCATAGGATGGATATGGATGGATCAAGTTACCGAAATATCTGTGAAATCCTGGATGAAGTCCACGTCGGAGCTGTGGGGCTGCCATGGGCTGAAGGCTACCCAGATTCATTTTTATATCCACCATGCTTTGGATATTGGTTGGTTTGCACCCAACATGGCCCATGGCGTTATTAGTTGCATGGCTATGACATGAGCTTTTTTGAAGGTTGAATGCTCAATTAAAACAAACACATTCAGTCAAGATTTGGACTAGTTTTCGTTAGCCCCAATGGCTTTTCAAGCACCGTAAGGAAGGATTCAGACATCATTTTGGGACCTAAGTGTGACAAAGCAGCGGAATGCGATCTTTCGACATTTCCTCAAGGGTTTGACCAGACAGGGGTCGATCAATGTGCCATTCTTGGGATTTTCCAAATTTTGGATCGTTGTTGGTAGTAATGCCCCTGATTCTGGGTGATGTTTAGTGAGGGGATTTTCACCCTGGTTGTGATTCACGGCCTGGTTATCCTGGTTTCAGGGGCCTTGACTTGGCAGCCAGCAGGGAGACTCAGTGGTAGTTGACTTTTGGATGGCTTGTAAGCGCCATGATCATCTTCCCTGGCGGATACTTTGAAGCTGATGAAGTGAAGGTCAGTTGAGAGGCCAGGGTACGTCCAAAAATGGGAATGTCTGAACGCATCAGCTTCCCCTTAAAATGTACAGTTCATTCTTATTTGTCTGTTGGACATACTACTAGCAGTAAACGGTACATAAGCCGAAGGAGACTCATTTACTTTGTTGTTTCCCACCAGTCACTGTAACACTGTTACATGAATCAGTAGGTACTCGTATATATCTCTGCGCATCACAAAATCCAAATGGTTTGTCATCATTGTCTCCATAAACATGGCCATTTGGAGGTGTGCCTCTATTTTTGGACCAAATATGTTGATCCATTTTGGGGGTTTCCCAAAATGGGGGCACCCCTAAATCATCCATTGAAAAATAGGATTTTCCGTTATAAACCAACTATTTTGGGGATCCCAACCCCCAAGTAGGAGCTGTCGTCCCCAGGCATGTCGACCTTGTATATCCTCGTTATGTGACCTGCGATGGCATTGCACTTGGCAATGTCTCAAGATTGGGAATCCCAAACAAACTGAAAAATAGACTTCCAAACTAATTTTTAAGGCTAAGAATCAGGGCCCAAGACTTCAAGTGTTTTGTGTTCTGTCGGTTCCCTGTGTCAGATCGCTGTTTCAGCCACGGAGAACAAATTCCAGCTAACGCCTTGGGTCACAGTGCACATCAGGTACACATTCCAAAGCTTGTCGGGTGCTTAGATGGTTAATGCTGTTACATTTCCTGTTGCATTTCTTCCATTTCTTGCCTCAACGGGATACTGTGGGATACTGTGGGATCTGGGATGTCCTTCCGGTTGTCGATTGGCGAAGGATTGCCATGGCCTGCCATGGCCATTCTTCCTGATTTCACCAGGTTTTTGGAGTGGCCGGAAGCTGGCTTTCAAAAGTCCTGGGCCCCAAAATGGGCCCTGCTGCCGCTGGAGATGGGTCGAAATTTGGGTATCAAAGGACCATTTTTCTGTCGAAAAAAACGTGTTTTGTTTTGTAAAGCTTTCCTATCCGGAAGCAAAACAAAAATTGGCCAACTCCTTCCAAATGCGAAAAACATTGACAAGAATCCGCATGTACGGAGGATGTCGGTATCAAAAAGGGTTGAACCATGGTCTATCTATCTATCTATATATATAAATATAAAAAGCCAATGTCTTTGAAAACGCATGTTGTTTGATGATTTTTGTTGAAGTTATCCAACATCCAAAAATCATCAAGTGTTTTTTGCCACTTTGATCCAAAGCCGGCACCACCTGACCTGCCGAGCCGCCGAATGCCCAGAAGTCTTGGCTCCCAATGAGACAAGAGCTCCAAAGAGTCACTCCCCGACCATGGAGATCCTTTCTGATGATGAGGCACGGGTCTAAGGTTTCGACTTGGATTTCATTTCGATTCGGCAGTCATATGTTTGAATGTCATATTTTGGTATGTTTCAACATTAGATAGCCTAAACATGTTCCCAATTCATATTATTTTTTGGGGCGTTGGCTACATATACGATCAATATCCCCATTATATCCGCATACATTAGTTTGTCAATCCCATTCAATCTCAATCCCATAGTTAATCTTCATTTTCAGAGAAACCTCAATAGAAACAAGTTGCTTAGATTATCCGGTAACATATTTATACAATTATATATATAATCACATGAATTACAGTAAACATTTCCATTAAACATCCCCATTCAATCCCTATGAAACCCACATTTTCGACGCCAGGATGCCCCGCTGGCGGCAGCACCAGCTTCACCGGAAACCGCGCTGGCGCCGCCTCCGGTCGCGGTGTCGATGTGTGATGCCTGCGACTCAGCGGTAGATCGGTGATTTTTTTCCAAGCTCTTGGGGGATTATAGAATATTATAGAAATCTTTTTTGGATCTGAGAGTCAGTTCGACCCATAGGCTATTTCTGTGAAACAGGGAACCAAGATCTTGGGATAAAGTTCATGAGAATCAAATGGTGCCAACAGATGGGGGTCAAAACCCCTCACATCCACATTGTGGATTGGGCTGGTGCTGTACCGGACCTTTTTTTCTGATCATCCCCTGGCAGTGTTGGATCTGCTCTCAGCCGTTTTGACTCCACAGGGTTGATCTGTTCAGGTTCCCGTTGCTAAAACGATGATCTCCACAGCCATACCGGCGATGTCCGCCATGCCTGCGAACGCCATGCCCATGGCATCCATGGCATCCATGGCATCCATGGCATCCATGGCGACTGGTGCGACCTTCATGGCTTCAATGCCCATGACTTCCATGGCTCCAATGGCCGTGCCAGTGATGGGCTTCCAACTGGTGCCGGTGACCGCCGTCGCCGTGGCGGTGAAGGTCGTTCCGAACAACGGCGCTGATTGTGCCAGCGAGACCATTAGTACCAGGCCTAGCTCTGAGTCTTTGGATGACCTGAGCTTTTCGAGGAGTACCAGTGAATCGGAGTTGAGACACTTGGTTCTACTTGGGTCGATGTTTTTGAACATGTTGAGCTGTTGTTTTATTTGGATTGGTTTGGTTATTGTTGGGGGAATATGTTCAGAAGAATTACTTTGGTGCTCCGCTGCATGAATTTTTGAAAAGACTTTGCCCAAATCCTGTGGCCAGTAGCACCATCCAACCATTAAGCACGTCCAAAAGTTTCACCGACTCCAATTGGAATCGGTCCCCATCATTCCATCAATTAAGCCCCT